GAGTCATGGGAATTGTTTTTTTCCCTGAGACATTGAGCCTTCTCTGTCTGTTGGTGAGCCAAGTGAATAGTCCCTGTTTAAATCTGAATTTTAGGGAAGCTATCCACGGTGTTGGAGCTATTTTTTGTTGTGTGCCTTCAAGTTGTTTGACTTATGGCCAACCTAAGGCAACACTATCATGGGTTTTTCTTGGCCAGATTTGTTCAGAGGTGGTTTGCTATTGCCTTCTTCCGAAAATGAGAGGCGGTGGCTTGCCTAGTGGTTTTCCATGGCCTACTGAGGATTTGAACCCTGGTTTAGCCCAGAGTCCTAGTCTAAAACTTAAATCCATATACCATGCTGGCTCAAACCAATTATGGGAATATGTTTCAGCACCTGAGGTAGGTCCTTTTAGAGTCCATACTGAAATATAGTGTGAATTCTGTGCCCTCACTGATGTGAAAACCACCAGGGGCCCTTTCATACAATATAGTTATAGCACAATGGATCTTTAGCTTCCTTGCCAGCATCCAATGAAATCCCACGATTCACAGACTGCTGGGAACAGAGGAGTAGTGGGACTAAAACCCAAAACAGACTTACTGTCCCACTGACATGGAAGCCTCCAGCAGGACTGATGACCTTTTCAGCCTCTGCTTGTTCAGACTCAGATGTATTTACACTGTCAAAATAATGCCTGGGATGGAATCCTGGGATTTGTAGTTTTACAAAGTCTTTAACCTTCTCTGCCAAAGAGTACTGCTGCCTCCCAAACTACAAATCCCAGGATTATATAGAATAGAGCCATGGCATTTAGTGTCCAACTGCATTATTTCTACAGTGTAGATGCACCCTCTGTGGGGTGAAAGGGAATTAGCCTCTCAGGATGTGTTAGATAGGATATGTGGGACTGCCTGCTAAAGGATGCAGTCATTTGGTGCAGAAGGGGCAGAGATGAAGGTGCCTACTTGGATAACAAAATAGTATGCTTGGATTGTCAATAGCGGTGCTGGCTGGGGGATTTTGACAGCTCTTTTGCAAATAAGTAACTTTTTCCAGTTCCCCTCTCCATTTTGCAGAGAGACTCTGGGGGGTTGCAGACTGCCAGAAATAGTGCAAATTGAGTCCACTTTTAGGGTTAGGGTTAGGGTTAGGGAATCATGGGAACTGTATTTTATTGTGGCACCAGAGCTCTCTGACAGAGAAGGCTCAATGTCTCAGAAAAAAAAAATTCCCATGATTCCCTAGCACACACCCTAACCCTAAAAGTGGACTCAATTCACACAATTTCTGGTAGTCTGCAACCCCCCTCTGAGGGCTTCTTCTTGGATGTTATTCTTCCAGGAAAGCCTGGGAGATCAGATTATTGGCCTTTAATTGAGAAACCTTAGATGAGCACCTGAGTAAATATAAGAATTCCCTGGAACGTTCTGAAAACCAGAGCTGTGGACTTATGTTTCCAAATCTAGGGCTAAACCCTGAGATAGAGAAAAACAGACTATACATGCTCTAGTGTGTGGAGTGGAGATTTTTTGCTTCTTACTGACAGAATAACCACAACCAGACATACCTAGGGTGAGAAGGGAGGACTTTCTGGTCAGAGAGTGTTGTTTGCTAACAGGCTTGAGGTCCAGCCCTTTGGATGCTATTTCCCCCACTTCTGCATTTACTTATTATCCACACCACTCCCTTCCCAGATCAAAACTCCAGTGATTGCAAATCCTTGGTTTATTTTTTAAACACTGAGCAGGCTGGGCCAATGCTGTTGCTTTCCTAAAATGTCTCCACCCTTTTGCAATCCTTTTGGGCAGCATTCTCCATTCCATAACTTTCAAGGCCACCAATCCCCTAAGCACAAGGAATGGAAGAAAACGCCCCTCCAGCCCATCTCCAGCTGCAGGTTTGGAGGCCCTCAGCTGGCAGGCATCCAGGCCTGTGGAATTTGTTTTAGATCCAGAAAAACAACTTGGCTCTATTCTTTCTCCCTCCAAATAAGAAGCAGAATCAGAATTCACTGAATATAGGAGAGACAGAAAGAGAACGGCATCATTTTACATGGAAAAAAATAGATTTAAAAATAATATTGGAAGCAGCATATCAGGATCTATAGTCAAGTTGGATCAGATTGGGAGTGATGCAAGTGGGGTTACTTCACTAGGTACAAAGTGTGTGTGCATGCACAACTTAGGTAGCAAATCTGCATAAAGGGAAACTTCTTAAATCCCACTGAAATATCTAGGAGTTAAACATCCCCAACTCCATGCAGCTTCAGCCACTATCTGCAAAGTACTATAGATATTATAAAACTACCTGTCATCCCCTAAAGTGAAAATTCATGGCAGTACATGTAAAGAGTCATGTAGCACCTTCAAGGATAAGAGATTTATTATTTCACAAGCTTTCATACATGGTCTAAAGCAGGGGTAGGCAACCTAAGGCCCGGGAGCCAGATGCAGCCCCCAGAGGCCTTTGGACTG